TTGTGAAATTGTTTCATATAATACTTTTTTGATGAAGTTGTTTCATATATGGTTGTAAAATTGTTTCATATAATACTTAATGAAACTGTTTCATGTATTTCTCTAACATTAATGAAACTGTTTCATGTATTTCTCTAACATTAATGAAACTGTTTCATGTATTTATCTAAAATTAAAATAATGAAGATGATAATATCTATGATTAACACCCTCCACAATAAAAATGATTAATCAACCTCTCATAATTACAAAAAAATAAACAAAATGAAAAATTATGATTGGTTGAATGCGTTTTGCACGGTTTGTACAAATTGAGTGATTTGCATTTGATCGCTCCCCTATATATATATATATATATATGTGTGTGTGTGTGTTAGCATGAAAATGTTAACATAAAGTCGAAATAAATTAACATTAGCATAAGACAATAAATTTATGTTAATATGTTGAGGTTTAACATGTACTTAACAAGTCTCGATTGTTGAGGTTTAATCAAATCAGGAATGCAACAAATTTCACAATACCAATTCGAATCTTAATGTATAACTGGACTTTAGTTCTCAACCAATATTGTTTGGTTAGTTTTTTTATTAATCCTATACAGATAAAACTGTCTGTCTGAATTAATCTGTTTGTAAATATTGAGAAGCTTTTATTTGAAAGGATTTTTTTCCATAAAGGTAAGAAGTGTGTTTTTTTATCAAGAGATATAAGTTAAAAAAAAAAAAGGTTACTTTCCACATAAACCACCAGTTCTGTTCAAAGATCTATAAAATGACGTAGTAGTTTAGATCATTCTCATTTTTGGTTAATGCATCTCTTTTCCATTTTAAGCAACATACTCTAATTTTCTAGATTAAGGAAATTTAAAATAATCAAATTACGTGCAAAATCACATGTGATTTTAAAATAACAGTCGCTGTAAAGGTATGTAAGCGACGTGGCCCACATGCCACAACCTTGGGTCTAAGCCAAAGTCGCATGTGATTTTACACGTGATTTTAAAGAAAATCATATGTGATTCGACTGTTTTCTTATATAGTTATTGTTCTTGTATAAATCTTACTATAAGAAACAAATCATAATATCACAAACAATCACGTCGCTTCAACTTTCAAAATTTATAATGAAATCGTTTCAATTTTCACCGTGCATATACCGATATGAATACTTTACGACATAACGAACCAAAATATTCAAATAATACAGCTTACAAATCGATTTTACCGAATTGGCTGATTAATTTAGGTCTAATAAAGGAGACTAGATCGATCATAGTTCAGAGAGGCACTTACCATTGATGAATTCAACCACCTGGACAACTGCTTCTCGGAGTGCCACAACGGAGGCTTGCAAATTTTGTGCAAATTCTTCGGGAATCGACTTCTCGCCATCGACAAAATTTGATACAGCTTTTATAAATATTGCCGGGACTTCCATAAGACTAGACACATAGGCCAAAGCTGCTCCCTGAAACCCGAATTTAAGTCTTGGAATGAACATTTGTAGCAATAAGGCACACATGGACAATCACATTCCAATTTGTTAGGCATGGTATGACGGAAAAAAATTGTCGTCCCATGTCTGATGTGACGTTAGATTTGGAAGTTCAGTTTGCGAGCAATGAGACGGAGGGGTAAAATGGTCATTTCTGACATTCAGACCATCTATTCAGCACAAAAAACCAGACAACATTTCATCTTATATCATGTAGACAGATTTATCAATACAGACAACTTTATCCACTGAGATCTTAATGGAAAACGAACCGAACAACCTCTTGGATAGAATCAGGATAGGGCTTAGTGGGATTGAAACGCACCACCAAAATAGGTAGAACAAAACTCAAGGAAAAGGGACAAGATTGGTAAAAAACACTAATGTCAAATTAAAATCCTAAAACTTGCTAAATATTTTCACCCACCTACCTAATTCTCGCTCATCCAGTCCTGTTTATGTACCATATGTAATGGTAAATTGAACTCTAGTACCTTTGGGGAAGATGTAAACAGTGCATACAAGATGAAATGACTCGGCTGGTCAAAAAGCTTGGAAAGCCTGGGCTGCACATGAGCCTATACGGCTTGGGCTCACCAAGCCTGAATGAGCCGGACCTAAGCTTGCTATTTATAGGCTGATTAGTGTAATCTGTATTATATTAAACCACAAGCCTAAGGGGTCGTTTAACAACGCTAACTGGTTAGGAGTAACCACCCTCACTTACCTCACTTGGTGAGCACCGCAATGTTCGAGAATCTTACCCGGTAAGTGAGGGTGGTGACTCTTATCTGGCTGGCGCTTAGCAGGTAGCAGACACTTACCACCAATCTTACTATGCTGTTTTGATGACTCTCTTACCCGATAAGGTAAGTGAAGGTGATAGAATCTTATCCGGTAAGGTAAGTGGATGTGATGACTCTTACCAGGTTAGCGTTGGTAAACGGTCCCTTAGTCTTTCATCGACTTCTAATTCTTGTTTTTGAAATATTTGTACTTTTGCTTGAAGAGTTTGATCATATAGCTTATAGGCCCACAAAAATCAAGGTTATACAAGCCAAGCCAAGGCTCAACCGATCGAGCTTTTGGTTGGTGGGGCCCAATCTTGAGTTCTCAAATAAAGAACAATTCTCGTGTTCTTATACACACTAATGATAGGGTTTAAGGACTAGGTTTAGGGGTAAAATGTATGTATTTTCATCTCAAGATTGAACATTAGGTGTTCAAAAAATGTTTAAGAGAGTCAAAATGTATGTCCAATTACAGGAAAGAGGTAACATGGTAATAGACAAGCAAAAAATTTGTATAATGAAATAATGTACCTCCATATCAACAATTGTTGCATCATTGGCCAGGATGCATCTTTCATCCTGTGGGGACATATCTAAGGAACCTCCCGTAGACAGTTTGCAAACCTGTGAGATGTATATATTAAGATGTTAAAATGTCTTCAATTTCATAAGCATCAATTAGCATCTGGGAGAAAAGATGTAACAATTAATAGAACAAGTTCCATGTAACATCCCAGGTCGGCCTATACCAGATATTGTCACTTTATCCACACACCAGGACTCACGGTTTTAAAACGAGTTTAATGGAGGATGTATCAATCCCCGTATAACGCAACCTTTGTTCCCCTCCCCAATCAATGTGGGATCTTACAATCAACCCCCCTTGGGAGCCCAGCGTCCTCGCTGGCATACCAGTCCGGTTCCTGGCTCTGATACCATCTGTAACATCATAGGCCAACCGTACAAGAAATTCCTCTTTATCCACACACTTGGATTCACGGTTTTAAAACGCGTCAAATAGAGGAGGTATCAAGCCCCTTATATGGCAACCTTTTTTTCTCCTCCGTAACCAATGTGGGATCTTACATTCGACAAGAATCTCTCTTTTCAAATGCTATTGGTGTATGTATGTATGTGTGTGTGTATATATATAGAGAGAGAGAAAGAGAGCCCAGTTCAAATGAGAACCACAAATACTTTAACAACCAGAGAAATAATCTTTAATGTATATTCATTGTTGAGTATTCATATTGACAGAATACACAAATATAAGTGAATATATACATTGGTGAATATATAGCACACATTCACAGATGAATATACTCATTGACATTACATATTTTGATGAAATGTATATAGTGTATATTTATCAACGAATACACACTACAAACTCAGTTCCCAGGTTCTCAAGTTATTTGCCGTTCTCACATGAACCCCCTATATATACACTCACACATAACACACACATATATAACTTTCTTCTTAGACCACCATGATTTCACCCTTGAGCTTAGTTTTTTAAATAATGAAGACCTTTACACCTTGTGTGGCAACAATTATGTTTTCTATTCTTTATCAGATTTTTTGTAATGTTATTGGAGTTATGATATTTGTCCAACGAGAAGTTAAAATGCATTTTGCAGGACTTTCTTTTTCAAAAAAATATAATTTAAAATTAGAAATTGTGTTTGAATGGCTTGCTATGTTGCAAGGATAGGGATATAAGAGTGATACGCATACACTAGGATTCAGAGATTCTAAGAAATTGGGGATACGGGGGTGCATCAATACATGTGTGTAATTATGTACACATAATGTAAACCCAAACCAGTGAGTTATATCTGATTTACACATTTAATATGTAAGATAAGCATAGACCTAAGTTTATCATACTTTTACTTTACTCACAGTATCCATATTAGGCGAACCTATTAGAAAATAACTTCTTGTGTCTTCTTGTTTTTTATCTTGCAAAGTCATATAAGCTATTTTTCATTTTAGCCTTTATTTCTAATTTTACAAATTGCGAATTTCCAATTTTTGTAAACAATAAACCAAATTGCATATCATGATTCTAGTATCCCCATGTAATTGTAGTCAATAGTCGGAGATACAATTCGCACCCCACAAACACCCAATACGTGGATCCAACATGGGGGAGAAATGCCTTGCCTTCTAGGTGAGTCTGGAACCACAACTATATTAAAGTCAAATAATCAACATTTGCTTTTTTTTGTAAACCACGAAGGCATCAAAATCCAGTGACAATTTGTAATCTGTCATTTACAAAACTTTGTAAACCTTGATTTTGGTTTTTTGAAAATGTAAACATTTGTCAAGCGCCAGTTTAGTTAAGTTTACAATGCCTTGAAACCATAATTGCAAAATCAGAAAACAAGAACATTGTCAACCAACATGTTAACAACATTGATAACCTTTTAAAGATTATATAAGCTCAAAAGGCTTTTTGAAAAGACATGCCTAGATATTTCTGTTTGTTGCCAAAATATAATTGGTAGACAATCACCTTAAAATTAAGCTCCTTCACAAGATTTGGTGTGGAGAAACTCTGCCGTAGGCCAATTCCGTACCTATCAGGACCCTGCAAATCAAGGCAGAGGAAATACAAAAGACTTGATATAAGTTGTGGAAAATGATTGGCCGTATGCATTAGTGAATCATGAATCACACTGGATAAATGAGCAACTTTAACAATAATGACTACATGAATGATTTTGTATATTAATCAACATATTAAATAGACAGTGCAGCTTTCATGCAAGTTCATAAACAACTTGACTTCTCCATCAACTGACACGAGATATAAACCGAGAAATTTTATTAAGACTACTTACAGGAATTGGAATCCGTCTATCATGAAATGAAAGATCTGATACTAGGAACACATCAAATATGCAAGCTCCTTTTACCTGGAATTCTCAACATCAGTGCAAACATTATAAAAGAAAACGAAGGCAAAAGAAACAAATTTGCAGATGTAATGAATAATCTAAGTTACAAAATATAAGCTTAACTTTGCATTATTTCCAGAAAGAAAAGGTAAAAAAGATGATGGGCACAAAAAATATACTTTAAAGCCACCAGCAGTGCCAGCGTTTATCAAAAGATCAGGCTTCAATGCTTGAATAGAAGCATAAGTCACAAGAGATGCAGGAACAGTACCAACACTATTATTCCCTGAGAAAGAAATAGCCTAAGAAATCAATAAGGATACCCATGCACCATATCCTGTGAACCATATGCACCCTATTAGGAAAAAGAGGTAAGGTACAAAGTGCATCTCTATAATTCCATAGTCATTTATGTTCGTATTATGCAAGAGGTACCTATACTTATGAAAGAAAGCAGGTCGGTTTAGTAAATAAGTGCCAATGGAACATCCAAACCGACATTCAAAGATGAGAAACCGTTAGCTCTGACTTTATTTGGGTCTTATGTTGACCACTAATAAGCACTCAAATATTTAAAAATGAACCCAATCAAAATTTTGAGTTCCATATCCGAATTTGCCTTTCTCATTGACATTAAATACAAGATGATCAGCCAAGCATGGGGTAGTTTGAACACATCTTGTAAAACTGGAGAGAACGAAATCATATGAGCATCCCACACACATCCAATAATACAAAAGAAAAAACCAAACACCCACCTAAGTCGCGGTCCTTCCCTGGATAAATGACATTTAGATTCAGATCCTTGTAATAACCATGATATCTGATCCAAGCGACACCTAGTGGAAACCTGAAATAGTTTTAACAAAAATAAACCCCAGAAATGAAACAGAAGAATATGGTACTTACAATTCAGAGTTCTGCAACATTAAACTGAAAAACTTGGAGATAGAGGCTGGTAATCTTTTGACCGTTGTACTACCTTAATGTGGATGAACACTTTACCAACTGCTTAATACATATTGCTCCAACTAAAACAAATTTGCTTCCAAATGCTCTCCCTCCCAGATAAATATATACAGTTACAGGTCAGACTCAACACCCATTTGAGTTTCAGAGCAACTACTTATGGAGTGTAACTTGTATCATAATCTAGAGAGCGTTGATCAGTCAGTATCAATATAAATAGTGATATCGATCTCACAGATGAATAAGTTAATGAAATAGGGTCGTAGTTGTAGTGCTTTGAGGTATTCAGTATATCCAGTAGAGGGCTTCTCCACCGAAAGCAGCTTAAGCATTATTAACATGGCAACTCAAATACTATTTTTCTTCTATATGTATTCTGTTTCTTCTCCCTCCGAGAAGAAAATGTATATGGTTGCATGCCAAATTCAACACCCACTCAACTTTTTAAATTAAGCCTTCATCATATCTAGCACATAGCTAAAATCTGGTATGGAACAGAAACATGTGTACTCATAAGCGAGCTCATATCTTCTCCAACTTATTACCTATAAGCTAGTGGTAGTCTCCTCCCTGAACAAAGATATGTGGCTTGAGCACCCCCCCCCCTCCCCCCAGCTCCTCCAAAACCATTATAACTGTTTTACCACTGCAAGGGGGGAAATACATGAACACCCATAAAAACATATAAATTCCACCTTTATCTTTATTCCTCGGCGGTCGTAAATGTCGTCTTTTCTCAATCTATGTATGTCTGTAAATGATTGTTTCGAATAAGTGACTGTTCTTCTAACATCATCTTGTGAGAACAAAAGCTCTTTTAAAAAGCGATAGAGTGCTCTGTGAGGTACATTATCTATCTATCTCCCAAAAAGCATATACTTTGATAAATATCATTTAGCTTGCAATCAATCACAGCTACAACTCAGTGTTTCTCAATTAAAGACTTGTCACAATTTTGATGTGCTTGAATAGGAAGGATTAACAAAGAAGGAACCCTACATTCTACCCTAAAATCATCCTAGATTCTCAATGCAATCCAAATTAATGTCATTGAGGTCGCTTACTGAACTTCTACTTCCTCCCCCCATTCCAGGTTAACAAAGAAGGAACCCTACAGTCTATGCCTAAAATCATCCTAGATTCTCAATGCAATCCAAATTAATGTCATTGAGGGCTCTTATCCATTCCAGAATAACGAATACACTTTCACTTCTGAAAGCAATTCCTAAACTCGAAACTGATAAAATTATTAGATACTATTCTAAAGCAATTCCTAAACTCGAAACTGATAAAATTATTAGATACTATTCTCATGGTAAAACAATCTAAAATTTTAACTACTCTGATTGCATCTCACTGTTATCAATAGGCAAATGGTCTATAGCTTATACCAATTTTTTTTTTGATTAACCTGATATCCAACCCGCTATGCGAGCCAACTAATCCCAGGACCACCTCCTTTACAGACAGCCCGGAGTCCCCGCATTTGAACCTCCGTAGCCACAAGGGGATTTTTATTCCTCCTTGAATTTGAACCTGAAACCTCACGGTACTTTTGACCTTTGGAGCCAAGCTCAAACCAATCAGAGGCGCCACCCTTGTGGTTTTATACCAATTTTATGTCTTATGATCTGCAAAACCAACTTCAAATCGTCCCTAGTTTTGGAACGGAGTAGTTAAACAGACAAACTAAAACTGAATAATATCATAGTAACTTCCAAGCAAATCCAAAAAATTGAAGCTCAAACTAAGAAATAAACCGTAATCATCATAGCAACATGCACTTATCACATCACTTATTGATTAAGAAGAATTCTGACAAAGACAAACTATAAAAACCGAAGAGATATAGAGGAACCAGAAAGAGAAACTCACAAAGAACCATCATCCCTGGAAAGTTTGAAGTGTTCCACAATCGGAAGCGCTTCCGAATCCATGGCTGCCGTCCATTCAATCAAAGTTATTATAAAATTAAAACATACATATAGGTAAAGACATGCCAGCAGATTACCGGCGAAAATAAGAAGGCTGGAAATCGGGCGGTTGTCATCTCCAATAGTAAGTGTAGCCATGGCAGCCTCAATTTTCCCGTCCTCACGTTTCTTGATTTTTTCTAATCGGTCAGCGCGGACATGCACAAACCCCAGTTATTGGACACGGTCTTCCGAACTCCGGTTTTTTGCAGGAACCGGTCGGCCCGGTCTCTATCATAAAATTAAAACAATTTTATTTGTTTTAGATTTTAAACTTTAACATCACCTTTTATAAATCACAAAGAAAATTAATCTTCAGACTTTAACATATCTTAAAAATAAACACCATCTTAATATAATCTAAAGTAAAAATGAAAATTTTTAATATAATTTTTAAATTAATATATATAAATATTCTGTCATATTACCCTGACACAGTACAAAGTGTTCCAATATGATTTATCAAATAAGATATTTAAACATTTGGGACTTAATTATATATGTTTTAACTGTTATTCAATTATATATGCTTTAGTTTTTAGTACAATTATGATTTTTTAGACTTTCATCTTTTTAACAGATTTTACGATTCTCAATCCCGACTTACAAATAATGATGCTATTTAATTGAATTTCATATGCTACATATTTCCTGGTTCTAGAAAAGGTTGTTTATTGGCTGCCATTCATTGAATGTGAGGGTAACCGAACCGATCTAGTTATTCATTGGATGTTGGATTTTGCAGACCGATCTAATCCGATTAACAAGCATTGTGAATAGTCATATGACACACGTGGTTGGAACAATATGATGCCACGTAACACATAAAAATAGAGATAAGCATCGACGAGTCAGGTCGGATCAGGCCTCAAAACTATAAACCCTATCGGGTCCTCCCCCGCCCCCCCGGGGGGGGGGGGAGGGGTATTGGAACCTGAAATCCACACTTTTTAGATAAAAATTGCGGGGTTTCGGACTGGTTTGGGTTCGAGGAACTACACTTTTTACATCATAAAATTATTTGAGGAACTCCAAAAGTCACATGTTAAAGTCACCCGACAATTCATATTTTGAATCAGAGTTTGCATTTCTTGTTCAGTCAAACCTTATATGTGTACTCCATCATGCTTAAAATTAAGGATACTACGACTTATCTGTTATAAATCTAAGACGTGAAATGTTTGCTATCTACATGTCAGAAAAATACCCATTATTGTATTTCCCATTTATGCATGAATTCTTCACGTTGTTTAAGAACGCGAAAAATTTGAGGAATAGAACATTAACGAGCATAAAAACTAGAAAAATATGAAGGTTGCAAGAATACGGAACATACAAGAACGAAAACCCAAAGAATATCGAAATAACAATATAAAACGTAGAGAATTTGAGAGTAAATAGTGAAACTGATATAAAGTTCATTCTAAATCCCAAAATAAAAGTAAATTTCATATAATGCTTTTCAAAGTGGCAGTTAACGAGGGGCCACGATGAGATTTTAACAGTAAAAAAACTATTCGTTTGGGTGTTTTGACCGTTATTGATTTCAAAACTGGTGTTTTTATAACCTAAGAATCATGTGTATAACTTTCGGTCCTCGATTGGGCCCATATATAGACAAAATGGTATTTTTTTAAAATAAGTTATCGACATAAAAAATATGGGCTAGTCGGCTTTTGGTCATGGATCAGGTACTGATACGGTCCTTTTTATCTCGTGCTTATGAAGTTAAGATTTCCATTCATATGGTTTACAATTCATTGTTTTTTCGTTCATGTGGTTTACAATTTATTGTTGTTTCCGTTCATCATACTTGATAATAAACCACTAATGAAATATCAAGAATGAAAACAACAATAAATTGCAAATAATAGTGACAAAAACTGTAATTTAGAAAGCATAAGTTCAGAAGTCTCATTTTTTAGTGTGATTTTGGTATCTGAACATGATAGAACAAAATGAGACAATACAAAACAAAACAAAACAAGACAAAATAATTGTTCAGCATTTGACAAAACATAATTATATAGAACATAACAGATAAAATAAACCATGGGACGAAATTCATAGTTCATATGAAATGTGTTTTGAGTTTGGTGTTTGGAATGACAATACAGAAACTCCGGGGTCCTGTCTTGCCATTCTCTCAGAGTTAGAATAGAGGCGGCAGCAGCAGCAGCAAACCAGCCCGGGATGAAATTTCCTTTTTCGATCGTGTCCTCCGTGTGCCAAAATCCAACAAACTTCTCTTAGACTCGATCGTATACATACATACATACATACATACATACATACATACATACATACATACACCAAATGGTTCTTCGTGTTGCATACGCCAAAAGTACGAAATAAATCCACGAGGATTAGGGTCGAGGGAAGCCATGGATTGAGATCGAAGGTTCGGAGTCCTTCGGCATTGGATCAACGATTTAAGGTATTATTCGTACATTTAAGTTTGAATTTATCACACATTTATGTTTAGAAATGATCTTGGAGTCGATTGTTGAGTGGTAAACAAGTCGAATGGTCGTTTTGGATTGATGATCGCCGTATGCGGCAGCGATAAAACACACAGCGGGTGTAAATCTCCGTACTATTAGGCTTATGCCTCGATTGAGTCCAAACGTAATATATACTGATTATAGATGCATTTGCAAATTAAAAATATAGCAAGGAGTGTAACTGAATCGATATAAATCGAAGCTTGAGCGTCGTGAATGGTGTCTGGAAATACAAACCCATTTATAGGTCGAGTTGTTTCAAATACGTAAATAAAATGATAATAGAAATGTTTAAGGATGCTTTAGAACTGAAGCTAGTCCAGACATTGAAGAAAATCGTATGGAATTGAAGCTTTATAAATCGTTCATGGCAGTGGATTATTGCTGAGAGACGGGTCAAGAAGGAGGTACTCAGATCCGAGATGTCTGGATCTGGGTTGAAATGAGGGGTTGGGTTACTTTATTTTCTTTTCTGGGTTAACGGCCTGCTAAGCTGGTTGCTGATTGGGCTTCATATCGCTGGGCCGAGAAAACAAAAAGGGTCAGCGGCAGCCCGCGAACCGCAGTTGCTGACTTGCCGTTGCTTTATTTCTTTTAATTAAAATGCAAAATGGGCCCCAAAACCTGTCCAAAATAGGTTTCTATTTTTTGAAATAAATGTCTGAAGATTTCGTTTCGTAATTATGTTTCAACCTTTTTTAAGATCGTTTATTTTAGGTCCTTTTGATTTATTTCAGTTTAACATCGGTGATAAGTTAAATGCTAGTATCTGGATAAGGAAAAATAAAACTGTTTATACCGATATCAAATTGGTAATAAACAGTTTTTGATAAGTTAATCATTCCTGACTTATGAAAAATTGTTTATTACCAGTTTACCATTATAACCCTCTTTTATTAATATGTTTGTTAATTATTAATTTTATTGATATAAATTTTTATCAAAGATATTATTATAAATAAAAAAAATAAATTTTTATCCAAATATTTCTTACAAAACTCCGATTTAATACCATTAGTAACTACTTTGCTTCGGACAAAACAAAACCAACAATATGAAAGCAAAAGAGACCAAAGGAGAGAGCTTCTCAAACAACAACCCATAGACTCAACACCACCTTACATATCAGTAACGAGAAACACTTTAGCCATCTAAAGCTTGTCCCCACACCATTCTGACCAAGAAAAATTAAAAATCCTTGCAGCGCGTCGACATACACTGGAACGATAGTAGTTGAACTTTGAAGAGGCGGTAAATCGTTTGATTGTTATCCTTTAGATCAAGTTGGCCATTCCTAACAGCTTGGTGCACTATCCTTATTATTTTGATGCCTTTGATTTATCAAGTATAAAGCTATCCATATATCACCTTCCAAATCGGTTGTCTTTTCCTCGGAATTGATTGCGAATTCGCACACGTAGGCAACTTATCAAGCGAGATAGAAGACGAAAGACTCTACCCCACCAACGGAAAATATTCTTCCATAATTGAAGCACCAATGGACAATTGAAAATCTATTATTTCTTTCGTTAAGGAGGGGAGATCCATACCTTTGTTTCAACACACACAACCGCAGTTGTTCATCATGTGTCAGAACTTGGAAATGGACGTGCTCTTGCCTTGCTTCTACGTATCTCCTTGACTCCTTCCTTCTAATATTTTGGGGTTCGTCTTATAAAAATCTGCCTTCTCAAAATCTCATCAATGAAACTATGACAATATCATATTTTATATATTTAAAATTTTATTTGATTCAAGTTCATATTTTCTCTACGATGGTTTGTGTTCATGTGATTGGTGGATGAATGGGACGTGATAATTCGAGGCAGGAGATTTTTATTCGTTGGGTAATACCTGGATAAATGAAACGAGTAGAAAAAGGATATTTGGCCTTAATGCAGTACTCTACTGTTACAATAACAACTTGCATGCATACACCAGCACAGCCTTACGAATAGTGCTGATACCCATATTTAGGGTCATAACAATTTGTTTTAGAAGGAAATCAGGAATGCATTTTGAAATCTTGCAAATTATATTAATGAAAGATGATGCTCTTCTTGGTTTCAGAACTTGGGTGATTAAACTGCATATTAATGGAAAAGCAGGAAGAAGTTTGAAATGAGAAAAAGGAGCTTGGGAATCTGGCTAAGGTATTCTTTCAGATAAACCAAACAACTTATCATTTGCCATGTTGATCGAGTTGTGATGGGCAGTTCATCATAGGCTTCCAACCTACAAGAGCACTCTTTAATTATCTTCAGGTAACATTGGAACCACTCTTCTCATTTCCATCATCAATTTCTCATCTACAGTTACTCTTATTATTAAGAAGAAAAGAAGGCCTAACATAAGAAAGAAGAGCCTGTCAAGCTAGCCAAGGAGTGACTGCCTGATATCTTCTCACCTGGAGTTGTTGGTATGGGGCAAGTCATCCTTGGCTACTAAACAAGTGCTTTTCTCTTCATGTAAGAACCCATCTTCTTGTTTATCAGTTTTTGACTTGCAATACTCATTTCTGGAAACCATCTATATATGGCCAATGGTTGTCATCCTTTCTTCTTTTTTCCAACTTTCTACCATATGAGCCACCATTGGGAGAATATATCCATATTCCATTTAATAGACCATATGTATCCCATTATGTATGTATAAAGTTAAGAACAGTGTACAAGGAAT